TGATTTGATGATAGTAAAGTCAGTGTAACATTGAAGGTCAAATGAACTTTGTATTTTACGTCATGATTTTTGTTGTTAAAAAGCCAAAAATCATTAACGCAGAAAAATAAAATAATAATAAAGAACCCTGTTATAAAGTACAAAGATACCCTCAGATGAGTTATTAAATAAATGCATTTATTAACAGACCAGATTTACATCATTTGGCTAACCTCTCGTTCTGTTCAAAATTTATACACATACATTTGAAACTGTGATAATCAGGATTTTAAAGTTGTAGGGTTGTACAATTTGTGATTTTCCACTCGAACACGTTTTATGGTAAGCGTTTAAGCTTGATTTTAGCAATATTTTGAATCATAATTTTTTTCTTTGCTTTAAGTTTCTGAAAAATAAATCATGAATTCAGACTTTGATTAACAAATAAATATGGTAGACAAAATATTTCATAACGCTATAATTTAGAGTTACATCACTGCGGTGGACACAACACATATAGCTGTATCGTGTAGTTTTTCGCGAAAACAAAGAAACATCAAAATGTTAGACTAACTATTACTGTTTATTTCAGACGAAAAAATTATACTATTTGATTTTTTCATTCAGAGTTTTTGAAACATAACAGTAAAAATCCTTTAATAATGTTCTTGAATGACGAGGATCTTCTTCAGTACAAGTTTCTGAATTTAGAATTAACATACTTTTTTAGCTGCTTAGGGAAACTCGATTTCTAAGTTAGATTTCATTTACTTAAAAAAAACTTGATTTAGAAGTATTGTCATAATGTTTTATTTCAATGTAGAGTTGACCAGTTTCATTAACTGAATCGTCTTCGTTCTGATTAATATGATAATTCGTTTCTAAACAAACCAAATGAAGTATTACCAACTTGTCGTCTTACCAATTGAATTGAAAAAACATCATTAGCGCATGGCTTGTCTTTTGGATTTTTATCAAAACCATTGCAACTAGATATTCGTTTTTCTTTCTTTGAATCTCTGTTAAGACTCTTAAAGAATTGTTCTGTATCCACACTTATACATGGATAAGACATTTAAATAATGTTTCTGTACCTACACTTATACACTGATAAGACATTTAAAGGATTGTTCTGTACTTACACTTATACACTGATAAGACATTTAAAGGATTGTTCTGTATCTATACTTATACACTAATAATACATTTAAAGGATTGTTCTGTATCTATACTTATACATTGATAAGACATTTAAAGGGTTGTTCTGTATCTACACTTATACATGGATAAGACATTTAAAGGATTATTCTGTACCTACACTTATATACTGATAATACATTTAAAGGATTGTTCTATATCTATACTTATACACTAATAAGACATTTAAAGGATTGTTCTGTATCTACACTTATACATGGATAAGACATTTAAATAATGTTTCTGTACCTACACTTATACACTGATAATACATTTAAAGGATTGTTCTGTATCTATACTTATACACTAATAAGACATTTAAAGGATTGTTCTGTATCTATACTTATACATTGATAAGACATTTAAAGGATTGTTCTGTATCTATACTTATACATTGATAAGACATCTAAAGGATTGTTCTGTATCTACACTTATACATGGATAAGACATTTAAAGGATTATTCTGTACCTACACTTATACATTGATAAGACATTTAAAGGATTGTTCTGTATCTACACTTATACACTGATAAGACATTTAAAGGATTGTTCTGTATCTACACTTATACACTGATAAGACATTTAAAGGATTGTTCTG